AAGATTATACGTAACTATGCTAATTGTTCTTAATCAACAGAAACCAAGATAGAGCGACAAACTCAGCTGTACAGTTCATACACTAAACTCTTCTTGCTTTTGCAGTATAAGGAATTAAGTCTCCGATTAGGTAATCACCTTGGATGATCAGTTTTCTGCTGAAGGCACCTGCTCAGTATCTTTTCCTGTTTATCACTCTGCATTGGTGAATTTAATCCTCTCCTTTGTGCCCAACTTGTGTGTGCTTTTAAAATCAGCTTGATTCTAAGCAAATCTGTGTCTACTTTAAAAGACTGGAAATGGGAAAAAATAAATCTTTGCCAAATCCTTCAGATTACTGTATTTACATATGGTTTCAAATCAGACGTCATAATAGCTTCTTGATGAAACCAGGACTGGTCCCTATTTTGACATTATCTTTCCTACAGCAAGCTTTTTAGAAAGGCTGCCTGCCCAGGCCTTGGTGTTTCACCTTTCCACGCGTAATAGATTTCCACGTGAAATCTGACGTTGTCATTTGTGAAGATCTCTGTTGATACTACCTTGGAAGCAGTCATCTCTAAGTCTTACATCTGGAGGAAGTGGGTGGCATGACATCAGAATTCCTTTATATAATTTAACCTCAGAATAGTCTGAGATGATTTCGAAGCACGCTGGTCAAGGAATTCCATTTTTGTTTTAGAGCAAATATGTTTGCTGTTTGTCTTCCATCACAAACGTGGAGTTTCAGCACCTTACAGAGCTTAGTGAACCCCCTGCTCACCATCAAAGTTAGCACACAACAAAGCCAACCACATGTCCCCCTCACAGATGATAATGGCTGAACTCTCAGTGAAACCAGCTGTACGGCCAGGGACAGTGGCTCACGCCTGTAATCCCAGCACTTTGGGAGGCTGAGGTGGGTGGATCACCTGAGGTCAGAAGTTCAGGACCGGCCTGGCCAACATGATGAAACCCCATCTCTAATAAAAATACAAAAAATGAGCTGGGCGCAGTGGCACGTGCCTGTAATCCCAGCTGCTTGGGAGGCTAAGGCAGGAGAACCGCTGGAACCTGGGAGCAGAGGTTGTGGTGAGCAGAAATGACGCCACTGCACTCCAGCCTGGGAGGGAGAATGAGACTCCATCTCAAAAAAGAAAAAAAGAGCAACAGTTGGAGGTTCTGAGCTCTGGGACTGGGCCAGTGTGATGGCTCCACACCTGTAATCCCAACACTTTGGGAGGCCCAGGTAGGAGGATCACATGAGTCCAGAAGTTCGAGACCAGCCTGGGGGAGCATAGCAAGACCCTGTCTCTACAAAAAATACAAAAATTAGCCTTGTGTGGTGGCACACACCTGTAGTCCCAGCTACTCGGGAGACTGAGGCAGGAGGATCCCTTGAGCCCAGGAGTTCAAGGCTGCAGTGAGCCAGGATAGTGCATGCGGCCTGGCAAGAGCAAGGAAGCCCGTTTCAAAAAAACGGAACTCTGGGACCGGAGTGCTTTAGACAGATGGGACAAGAATCAAGTTTTCTGGAGGTGTTTTTCATTAGATTGTAACATTAGACATTTCATTAAAAACGAAGTCTGATGTGTGTATCAATGTTTTTATCTTTGAGGTAGGGTAATGGCAGTAAGTGAGCCTTTCTGAATAGCTTTTGTAAACAGCCCTTTTCTACAGTGGTTAATACAAATAACTGCCCACACCACTCATTTCATTAACAAGTTTACAAAATTAACATTACCTAAATGATTTTGGTAGAAAAACATCGAACACTTGGCCACTATTTATCTAATATTTACTCCGATGCAGACGTTTGCCCATACACATCTGCTTAGGGTGTGGAACGTGAGGCCTACACGTTGCTTACAAGGAACGCGCGTGGCTGCATTGGCAACACCACGAAACACTCCAGCCCTACATCCATGCTTTGGGCGCATGACCCACTTCCAGGAATTCACTCTGGAGACAGACCTAGAAACTTCTACGTGCACATGCACGAGGATATAACTAAACAGGTAGTATTTATTGTAACATGATTGTATTAAAATACTTGAAACAACTGAGGTGCCCATGCATAGAGGCGAGTGAGCGACAGTGCTGCCCCGTAGGGCCGGCACTTTGCCACTCAGGCACGACAGGGAAGAGCTTGGGATGAGGGGTTTCCAGGGAATGTGAAGCAAAGCAAGGTGCAAAAATAGATGTGTCCCTAGCAGAAAGGAAAGAACATTTGGTAGCTCTTTGAAACAGGTTAAGACGGCCCCCGGCCAGGCGCCATGGCTCACGCCTGTAATCCTAGCACTTTGGGAGGCTGAGGCGGGTGGATGACCTGAGCTCAGGAGTTCGAGACCAACCTGGCCAACACGGTGAAACCCCATCTCTACTAAAATACAAGAAAATTAGCCAGATGTGGTGGTGTGCACCTGTAGTCCCAGCTACTTGGGAGGCTGAGGCAGGAGAATTGCTTGAACCCGGGAGGTGGAGGTTGCAGCGAGAGCCGAAATCACGCCAATGAACTTCAGCCTGGGCGACAGAGCAAGACTGTCTCAAAAAAAAAAAAAAAAAAAAATTCCCCTAGTTTTTTTTTGACAACCGCCCTTAATGAGTGATGTGGGTCTGTGCCCCGTCAGCTCTGGACTCTGCCAACAGGACAAGGAGGCAGTGATGCCAGCGGTGCAGCACCACTTCCTGGGTCCACCCAGCCTTAAAAAACTGGCAGCTGCCCCTTCCTGTCTCTTTGGGGGTGCATGCTCTTGGCCGTGCTGGGAGGAAGCCACGTTGCTCAGTAGAGAGGCCTGGTCAGATAGGACCCAGCAGCTAGCATCCCTGCCAGCCGTGTGGCCCCCTCTGTGGATCCTCCAGTGCCAGGAGCGATGCCCTCACTGACAGTCTGGAGTACAGATGAACGGAACCTGCTAAGCCCCGTCCAAACTGCAAATGGGTGGACAAAATACAGGATTATTTAAATATGTAGTATATGTGAAAAAGCTAAGCAAAATATATACACATACCTGCTCATTTGTGCAAAAAAACTGGGGTAAGGTAGAAATAAATGAGATTGGTTACCACGAGGTGGAAACAGGTAGAGATGGAAAATGGTGAGAGGGTGGGAGGGGTGCAGCTTTTTGTGTAACAGACTTAGAACCACACGAATGTTTCACATCCTGCCAAATTCAATAAAAAACGATTGTGGGGGGAATCCAAAATGGAATACCTACAATAAGGGAACCTCACTGTTACAAATAATAAAGCCACACTGAAGGGGTAGGTTGCTGAGCTAAATGATGGCCAGAGAACACCATTCCGGATGGATACTGCAAGGTTAAAGTGACATATTTAAAAAAAGAATGTAGTATACTCTTGCTAGTGAATTTGCTTTCCGTGGGTTGGCAATCCTGAGACCACAGGCGTACTAACATTGTGTGATGTTACACATAATGACAGCCTGATTTCCCACCGCTGGACAGTCACAAGGCAGGCCAGCATGAAGCCGTGGGCCTGCTGGGTTCAGCTTAGCAGTGAGTTGCGGTTTGAGCTGGAGCTGTGTGTGGCAGGGTGTTCCAAGTGCCACTCCACAAAAGGGCCTGGAAGCAATGATCCTCCAGCAGCCTGTGCACGGCCAGCCTGGGTCCCGGTGCTGGAGATGGTTGTTTAAAAAAATAATAATAATAATAGAAAGTCACCATGAGGCAAATACCAATAACTGCTGATTTGTCGACGGAAACTCAAGTTACTGGGTTCTTGAGAGGATATTCTCATTGTGTCCCCGCAAGATACTCATTACACCAAGGAAAATAGTGACTCTACAGTGAAGAGACCTGGTAGACACCACCTACATCCTGATTTGATGCAGAGGAGGCCAGATCTCTTCCGTGTTCTTGCCAGAATGCATAATTGCAGTTTAATCACGAGAAAATATCAGGCAAACTAAAATTGAGGGGGAGTCTACAAAATGCCTGCCCACACTTCCCAAGTGCTTGGGTCCTAAAGACTGCAGGAGAGACTGGAAGACAGGGAGACAACAATACACAATGTGGGCCCATTGGAAGGGCCCTGGACAGGAAAAATGGACACTTGGGAGACAGCCAGGCAGGTGCCAAGACAGGTGCAGGTGAGGCTGCTAGCCCTGCATGGTGCGAGTCCCCACGAGGCTGCAGGAGACACCAGTTAGGCGGCTGGGTGAAGGCTGCAGGATTTCCAAAAGCTGTTCAAAATTATTCCAAAGTACAACACTAAGAAGGAAAATATACCTTTTTACTTAAAAAAAAAAAAAAACAAAAAAACCGGTGTGGTCCCTGGATGAGGGGTGTCAGCGCTGCCTGGGGGCTTGTTAGAAAGGCAGAGCCTCCGAGCATAGCCCTGTGGCGTCAGAAGCCGCGTCCTACATGTGAGGTGACGCCACCGTGCAGCGGCCAGTGAGGCGGCTTCACAAATGGGTGAGGACAGCCTGCCCAGGCGCGTGCAGTGAGGATAGCCAGGTGCCCCCCCAACATGCACAGGATACTACCCCATGTGTAGAAACGGGAAACGAGTGAATCTTATTTTGTGTTTGTACAAAAACTGAAGTACCCCCAAGAAACAAGTATCCAAAATGATCCACAAGGGCAAGACTTTGTCACCCTCCTCTGGGGACTTGTGAACGGTGTATGTGTGACCAGTTCACAGCTTCTTTAAGAAAAAACACTTCAGTAAGAGCCAGGGTTACACTGTGTTCACATATTTAGGTTTGGACAACAAATTTCCCCTAAAGTTCTTGGAATCATAAATTAATGTTTCCCATCCTGCTGGAACAGACACACTTAAAAAGATGTCCCAACCTTGTTTTGAGATGGAGTCTCACTCTGTTGCCCAGGCTGGAGTACAGTGGCATGACCTTGGCTCACTGCAACCTCTGCCTCCCGGGTTCAAGTGATTCTCCTGCCTCAGCCTCCCAAGTAGCTGGGATTACAAGCGTCCACCACCACGCCTGGCTAAATTTTTTGTATTTTTAGTAGAAATGGGGTTTCACTATGATGGCCAGACTGGTCTCAAACTCCTGACCTTGTGATCCACCCGCCTTGGCCTCCCAAAGTGCTGGGATTACAGGTGTGAGCCACCGTGCCCGGCCCCAAAGATAATTTTCTAACAACTCCAAGGCAAGCAAGTGAATTGTCTAAGGTCACACAGTCATCTTCAAAGGTATAATATTAATAAATGGAAAGTAAGTACCACTGATTATGAAACTCGATGTCATGCAGTCGACCACTCCAAGCAGACGCAGCTCTATCTGGACCTCCGATCGGCGGAAGTGCAGCCACCTCTCGGCCTTGGCTGGGCTGAGGTTGTGGGGTGGAGCCTGGTGGGCAGTTGTGTGGTCTGGGCCTGGCTATCTGTGAGGTTGGTGCAGTGCAGGCAGCCCCTGCCAGTTCTGACTGGGTGGTGCCAGTGTTTTGCATCTGTACACTAGCGATGGACAGTCCCTGCAAATCCGCAAGGGACCCAGTCTCCAGCTGAGTTGCAGGTCCAGGAACACCGCCTGTTAGCAATGTCCAAGACACGTCCCAAGGATAAGAAGAAAATGGAGAGCTACAGAGCCTAGACAATGGGAGTTGCAGAATCGAAAACTATTACTATCCGAAGCATTTCCCAGCAACCAAAAGGAAAATGAACACAGAATGTGACTTCAACCACTCACCAGATGGAGACTGTGATTATTAAAGAAATCACAGGTTTCGCTTCTTTGCAGTCTACATCTGGTGAGTGAGTGAAGGTGACTGCACGGAGCTGGTGAGCTTTCTTAGGACGGTACTGCCCCTCACCCGAAACCTTTTTTCTCCTGCGTGGTGGTGTGATCTCATGAAATGCGGTTTCAGTTCTAACCTCACCATTCCACTGTCAGGGATCCTGGCCACTGCAAACCAGGATCGATTTGGTGTCTATCACTGGGCAGCTAGTCTTGTATGTTAAGACACCAGTCTCTGTTATATTAAGAAATACACTAAAAGGTTCTAATTGGAGATATTTATACAAAATCATTGTACAGGCCAGCCTCAGAAGCAGAGTCCTGGGCACCGGTGCTCCCCAGAGGGCAGTGCCGCCCCCTGGCCAGCTGCCTTGCTGGGCTCTCACTTCCAAAATCCCTGCGGGTTCTGACTGGCACAGGGGGGTGTTTATTCAGGAGATGTGTGCAGGAACTCAGGCGGAGGCGCATGAAATTAGGGACAGGTGGGAGCAGATGGGGTGGGAGTCCACAGGTGGGAGCAGATGGGGTGGGAGTCTATCAATCCTTAAGATAATGTAAGAAGACCCCAGAGGACATCAAGTGTGGGTTCCTGTCCTGGGTATGACGCCACCACCTCCCCTGGCCAGAGACAAGTCGCAGCCGCTGTGCTCTTGGGACTGGGTGCGGGCGCTACAGCCAGAGGTGCAGACAGCGGAAGCTGAGGCCTGGCCTAGGACGGCAGCGCCTCTGCACCTCTCACGGCTTCAGGGGTGCCGCAGTTCCTAAAAGATCAAGGAGCCCTGGGTGTCCTGTAGGCAGCCCTGCATTGTCACCAGCACTCTGAGGGGCACACGGGGCACAGAGGCACGGAGCTCAAAGCCAAGCCCAGCATCACCCCAGTGCCCAGCCGGGTGCTGTGGTGTGTCCATCTGTGACCCACGGCCAGGATGGCTGTAGGGAAAGCCCTGGCGCAGAGCCTGCCTGTAGCAGGCACTCAGGAGGGGTTGCCACCCACACCAGTCAAACCCCACAGCTCTGCAGGGCCTGACCTGTGACAGCCCCATGGGGCTGGAGGTGCTGCCCTTACTCAAATCTGGTCTACACTCCACCCACCCCCGCACACTGCCTGAGCAGAGAAGACCCACTGTCGGGGACTGCTGAGCTCGGCTTCGGCAGGCAGCCCCCTCGGAGGGCACGAGCGAGTCCTTCTGCCCAGGATGGGACCCAAGGTAAGAGCACGGGGCCTGCGAGGCCCCCAGGCCCAGGCCTCTCCTGGGAGTTGGGGGAGCGGTGGCCATAGGCAGCGTCTGAAGGTGGTCTGCAGGCCCCTTTCAGCTCCACGGGTTTGAGCTGCATTTTCTCCCCACCTGCGGCTGGATTCCTGGCTGGCTGTCTCACCAGCTCACAGACGGCTTCCATCCGACTCCCTTGGTGATTCCAGCACGGCACCAACAGGACAGCTCACCACGGAAAATGCCGCTCCAGCCCCACTCAGGACCCCCGGCCCAGCCCAGGGCAAGCAGAGCCACGCCCTGCATACAGCAGGCACTTCATTCATGTCCCTTCACCTGCAGCTCCGGGAAGATGCAACCTCTGCTGTCCTGCACAGCCCGGACTCCTGCTGGCTCTGACTTCATTCCCCTACTCCCTGGCTGACGCCAAAGCCGCTGGCCAAGGACACACAGCACAGGTTTAGGAGAAAGCAAGCTTAGGGCCACTCAGCCTCCGCACACCCAGACCCACTGTTCCTCCCAAGCAAGCAAAGGGGTGACGCAGAGCAGCTGGGCCAGGCGGATCCGGGGCCAGCTTCGTCTGGCCGGGAGCAGGACACACACCAAACCCATAGCACCGCGCCTTGTGGCTTCTGGCGCTGACGGCGGTAACTTGGCTCCACATAGGACAGACAGACACATGCTGCAGTCTCCAGCCCACACCTGCCAGTCGTGTGGCTTCCGAAATCAGACCGTGTGTGTCCACAACGGCATCATAAACTGGTTCATAGGAGCTCCATTTTTCTTTCAAAAAAGGCATGTTAAATCCACATATGAAGGAAGTGTGTTCATGGAATCCAGGTCATCACCCCAGAGCACAGCAAACCTTCATATGCACCACAGGCACAGAACCTTCATCAATGAAAAGTGTGCTCAGAATTAACCTTCAGAAGCTGATGACACTGTTCTCACTTTAAGCAGAAAAGAGGAAAGTCAGAACAAGAGAAATGACAGATATTTCATAAGCTTGAATATAAATAATAAATATTAAGTCTGAAAAAGACAGGATTCTTACCTCACTGGGATGGAAAAAGGCTTGAATGGAATCTGAAGTATAAAAGGGAAAAGAACCCAGAAGAAACTTCCTCTATGCCTGTTGAGGGCACTTCCTTCTCAGAAGTGAATGGATCCTGCTTTTCGCGGACATAGGTGCCTGCAATCGCCAGCGCCTCTCAGAACATGAAGACTGCACTGGGGAGAACCCATGGAAATGGACAGGGCTGCTGACCAGCAGACTTCCCCCACAGGGGCCCCAGAGCCAGGTGAGGACACCTCCAAGGAACGTGCACCCCAGACCTCGAGGCACTGGCGGTCCCATGGGAGCAGCAGTGCCACACAGAGCCTCTGCACACGGATCCGCCTGGGCTGCACCTTCTGCTCTGCCCCGGAGGTGGAGGAGGTGGGCTATTTAGTGGGAAATATGTTCTAGAGGAAAGATGGCAAAAGGTGTCCAAATATGTAGTGAAAATCCAGTTAAACATTTAAAATTTATTAAACTTTTTTTGGTCAAAATAGTTGAACAAATATGTGCAATCCCATTTTACTAGAACTGTCTTTTTAAGGACCAGGGTTGATTAATGCTTAAATAACTCTGTTCCACACCTCAGACTTTGTAAATTGTGTCACAATCAATCAACATACAGCAAAGAAATTATTTTTAAGTTAAAATAAAAGTACTTTTAGATTCTCAATTTCTAACTTAATGTGAACTCAAGTGGCACTGTGTTAGCATTAATTCAGGGTACTGACGGACACCCTGTTCTTGTGCATGTGGATTAGTAATCAGCACACACCTCCATCTCCACTGGGGCACGAGGAATCAGGATCAGCACACACCTCCATCTCCATAGGGGCATGAGGAATCAGGATCAGCACACACCTTCATCTAGACAGGGGCACGAGGGATCAGCACACACCTTCATCTAGACAGGGGAACGGGGGATCAGCACACACCTTCATCTGAACAGGGGAAGCGGGGGATCAGCACCTTCATCCCCACAGAGGTATGAGGAATCAGCACACACCTTCATCTGGGCAAGGGGGAGCGGGGGGATCAGCACACCTTCATCTAGACGGGGAGCGGGGATCCAGCACACACCTTCATCCCCACGAGGGGGCATGAGGAGTCAGCACACACACCTTCATCTAGACAGGGGAAACGGAGGATCAGCACACGCATTCATCCCCACAGGGAGTATGAGGGGAATCAGCACACACCTCTATCTCCATAGGAAGGGGGGATCAGCACACACCTTCATCTGGAGCAGAAGTGAGAATCAACACACACCTTCATCTGGAGCAGGGGAGCTGGGGGATCAGCACACCTTCATCCCCACAGGAAGTAGAGGAATCCAGCACACACCTCTATCTCCACTTAGGGGCATGAGGAATCAGGATCAGCACACAGCATCTAGACAGGGAGGCACGAGGGATCAGCACACACCTTCATCTGGGCAGGGGAACGGGGATCAGCACACCTTCATCCCCACAGGGGTATGAGAATCAGCACACACCTTCATCTAGACAGGGGAGCGGGGGATCAGCACACACCTTCATCTGGAGCAGGGGAACGGGGGGATCGGCACACCTTCATCCCCACAGGAGTGAGGGAATCAGCACACACCTTCATCTGGAGCAAGAGGCGAGGATCAGCACACCTTCATCCCAGGGTATGAGGAATCAGCACCTCTATCTCCATGGGGAATCACCTTCATCTAGACAGGGGAACGGGGGATCAGCACACACCTTCATCCCCACAGGGGTATGAGGAATCGGCACACACCTTCATCTCCACAGGAGGATGGGGGATCAGCACACACCTTCATCCCCACAGGGGTATGAGGAATCGGCACACACCTTCATCTCCACAGGAGGATGGGGGATCAGCACACACCTTCATCCCCACAGGGGTACGAGGAATCAGCACACACCTCTATCTCCATAGGGGAACGGGGGATCAGCACACACCTTCATCTCCATAGGGGAATGGGGGATCAGCACACACCTTCATCCCCACAGGGGAACAGGGGATCAGCACACACCTTCGTCCCCACAGGGGCACGGGAGCCTGACTCCCCACTCCCCTCGGGGACACGTAGTGGGTGTGTGCTAAATCCCACAGAAGCAAGCTCTGGTCACTCAGCATTGTTACAGCTCTGTATTATATGTCTTGGAAAATCTTGATTTCTGGTATCAAAGATTTTACTTGAAAATTAACCAACGTGCTGGTGGCATCATGTAATTAAAATTACTTAATTTTCCTGGCTTGAAATGCAGGATGAAATTTAGCATGCATATAATTTTAGCAATATTCTAAAAGTATACTTCCCCAAAGTACTTTTTCAAAAGCCTTAGAAAGAAAGCACGTTTCTTCATCTGCAGTGAATTTGAGGCTACTTTAAACCAGGCTAATTGGATGGCAGCAATTTCAGTTCTTCCTTGCAATTTTCTTTCTCAGAAGTGGCCTCGGTTCTGGTTTTTCCCAGACCTTACCTGGTGTATCCGATGGGCTCCTCTATAGAAACACAGTGGGTGGCAGCCTGGGGACAGAAATGCTGCACACATCCCCCTACGCTGCCAAAGAAGGGGACACATTTCTCAAACAGGTGGTTCCAAAGAACCACCCTGCATAACTTCATTCTATGCAATGAAAGCAAATGAAAAGGCAATGCTTACGTTTGGATTTAAAAACACTTTTTATAGCGTGTTGTTTTTATTGAGTGCTCACACCCGAAGGGGTGGCAGCGGATGCTGTGGGTGAGTGGGGCCGCCTGAGCCTGCTCGGGCCACATCCACACATCCACGGAGCCCACCTGGACTCAGAGGAAGGCTGAGAGGACACGGACGGTGGCCACGCCACGCTGCAGTGAAGGCCCAAGTGCGATGGCAGAGAAAGAGGGAAAGTCGGAGGAAGAGCGGTAACTGACAACAATAACTTTTCTCTTGGATGTTAATTTTTTGGTCTATAAATCGGAAAGGAAGGCTCGGACTGAAATAAATACATTTATTCTGAGTAACGGCCTTTTGGGAGCAGTGTCCGTCAGCTCTGCTTCGAGCGCGTCTCCATGTGAGCAGTAGCGCCTGCCTCGCGCCTCGCCAAAGGCAGAAACACACCGGGCCTCCAGCGGAGGCAGCTTTCTCCCGTGTCTGTGAAGGGAAGTAGCAGGTGCGTCACTGTTCTTAATGGAGCGGACAATGATGCCTTTCTCTGACAGAAAAATGATCGGCTTAACTATGCAAGACAAGACTTGGTCCTCACGTTCGCGTCCCTAGTTGATTTTGTCCTGGAATATGTACAAGTTATTGGTGGCAGCCACGGCAATGACATTGTCCGCGGGGTGCCAGGCCGTGTGCAGGATCTTCTTGTTGAAGTCCAGACTGTCCACACTGATCTCGTCTTTCTTCCGCTTACCCCCTGTACACACCTTCCTGGGTTTGAGGCTGGCGCGTGGTTTGCTGCTCTCTCTCGAGGCCTCCAGGGTCACATCCCTCCGCGTGTCTCTATCAAACATTCTGAAGAAGTTGTTGTAGGACCCGGTCATGATGGCGCTGTTCAAAACAAGAGCAGACAGCAGCACTCCTAAGTAGGGGGAGCAGCAACAAGGACTCAGACCCCACCCCTGGGGTGCACAGTGCACACCACCCTCCCCCGCAGCCCAGTTACTTTCAGAAATCAGGAATGAACAATCACAACAACAGAAGAGAAATGCAGTGAAGATTCTTACTGAACTTTATATATAATCATGTCAGTAAGAATAGTCACAGGAGAAACAAAATAATGGAGTTATACTTTTAATGACATCAGTATATTTTCTGAAACAATCCCACCTATTTATCTCACTCATGAATAACAGTATAGTTTATTTTTAAGCCTTAAATTCTGCAATTTGTCAATAATTCATAATGACCTGAACATAATCCTTATCATGTTCAACAGTTACTAGTCATATCTGTCAATGTTTCTTCAGAGTTAAACTGCTTTTCTATTAATTTCAAAGTTTCCTTCAAATGAAGCAACGGATAGAAATAGTAAAAATCTTAAACACTGGGCGAAGTGTGGCAGAATTTTAGAACAACTGCATTTCGCAACACACTCCAGACAATACAATACTGTCCATGCTTTTGTTTCTTCAAGATCAATTGTAATGGCTTTCAAATTTCTCTGCAGTTGAAAAATTCCACTAACGCACACACCCTCATAACTTCATATTGGCAAAAACCTCTGCAATCTTACTTTTTCTACAAAAATGACAGAAAAATGGCTGAATGATAGCAAACACTGCCATGATCTGACCCATGGCTTTATGAGTCCAGTTTCTGATGAAAGATGTGTTCAAACAATGCCCTTCTGATTTCTCCGGCAGTCCTCGAAGCTCGCCTGCTCTTCGTATTCTGACACTGACCCGCACCCTCACGTCCTGCCCCCAGGGTCATGCACGGCAAGAGCCTTCGCGCCGGCACCGTCTTCAAGGTGCCACGAGAAAGAAGCAGGCTGTTTCCCTTCCATGGCCCAGCACTGACCCCAGCTGCTGGCAAATATCTAGTGTCTGGCTGACCTTGTCTAAAACTTCAAAGCACAAAAAAAAAAAAAAAAAGACAAACTCAGAAAAGAGAAATTGCACTCAGCTATCCACGTTTATTTCACATCTCCTGCTTCCATCCAGGAGTCCACAGCACCACAGGGGCAGGAGACACAAGATGTGCCCAGCGCCCTCCAGCAATGCCAAGTTGCGCACATGGTCTTGGAACAGGGGTGTGCAGCCAAGTTGGCACGTGAGGGCCATCGACTGGGAGTTCCCGAAATTAGTTTCCACACAGAACACCATGTTTACGAAAGGGTAAGTATAAGAATGTGTGAATCTGAAGCTCACATTTATGTTATTAAAACTCAACAGCAACCATTATTCAGAACACAGACGACAAAAGATGTATGGCCGACATTGGAATTGCTGGTGCGTGGTAATAACGAAAAGCAGATCAGCTTTTACACAGATTTATGATCACTTTTAAATTCTTCACAGACAGTGCCAGCCCCAGAGCGGGTGTTTCCACACTGCAAACAAGGGCGCTGCCCAGCAGCCCAGTGCTGGCCCAGGAAGGGAACAGCACAGACACAGACACAGACACAAGCGCATAACTGGTTTTGTGAGGCGACCTAGAACACGAGGAGGCGCTGCCACACAGAGAATCAGGATTGGGCTGAGGCAGCACTGCAACGCCTCACTCCCCTTCATCAGGTCCCTCAACAGAAGTTTCCAGGCAGGAAGACAGGCGTGTCTGTGAAAGTAAATGGACTAAGCAAGTGTTACTGGGAATGCTTTTAGATGGTCTTGGGGATATGTAATCTAAGGGTATTTTGCAATATTTGAAATATATCAAGAGGAATAAAGAATACAGTAACTATCCATGTACCTGCAAGTCACTGCTAAGACAGTGAACCCCCCCACCCCGCTAAGTCACTAAGACAGTGAACCCCCCCACCCCCCTAAGTCACTAAGACAGTGAACCCCCCTGTACACCTCACTGCTAAGACAGTGAACCCCCACCCCGCTAAGTCACTAAGACAGTGAACCCCCCACCCCTTAAGTCACTAAGACAGTGAACCCCCCTGTACACCTGTAAGCCACTGCTAAGACAGTGAACCCTCCCGCACACCCGCGAGTCACTAAGACAGTGAACCCCCGACACCCGCAAGTCACTAAGACGTGAACCCCACACTCCAGCAAGTCACTAAGACAGTGAACCCCCACACTTCGCAAGTCACTAAGACAGTGAACCCCCGACACCCGCAAGTCACTAAGACAGTGAACCCCCCACACTCCCGCAAGTCACTAAGACAGTGAACCCCCCACACTCCCGCAAGTCACTAAGACAGTGAACCCCCGACACCCGCAAGTCACTAAGACAGTGAACCCCACACTCCCGAAAGTCACTAAGACAGTGAACCACCTGACACTCCTGCAAGTCACTGCTAAGACAGTGACCCCCACACTCTCAAGTCACTGGGCACAGTGAACCCCCCACCCCTAAATCACTAAGACAGTGAACCCCCACCCCCCTAAATCACTAAGACAGTGAACCCCCCACACCCCCTAAGTCACTAAGACAGTGAACCCCCAGACACCTGTAAGCCACTGCTAAGACAGTGAACCCCTACCTAAGTCACTAAGACAGTGAACCCCGACACCTCGCAAGTCACCAAGACAGTGACCCCCTGTACACCTGTAAGCCACTGCTAAGACAGGAACCCTCCTGCCGCACACCCAAGGAAGTCACCAAGACAGTGAACCCTGACACCCGCAAGTCACTAAGACAGTGAACCCCCCACACTCTCACAAGTCACTAAGACAGTGAACCACCCACACTCCTGCAAGTCACTGCTAAGACAGTGATCCCCACACCTGCAAGTCACTAAGACAGTGAACTCCCCCACACCCGCAAGTCACTAAAGACAGAACCCCACCCCCTAAGTCACTTCAAGACAGTGAACCCCGTACACCTGTAAGCCACTGCTAAGACAGTGAACCCTCCCGCACACCCGCGAGTCACTAAGAGCAGTGAACCCCACACTCCCGCAAGTCAGCCAAGACAGTGAACCCCCACACCCGCAAGTCACCAAGAGACAGTGAACCCCCACACTCCCGCAAGTCACCAAGACAGTGAATCCCCACACTCCCGCAAGTCACCAAGACAGTGAACCCCCACACCCGCAAGTCACTGCTAAGACAGGGACCCCCCCACACCCGCAAGTCACTGGTAAGACAGTGACCCCCACACCTGCAAGTCACTGCTAAGACAGTGACTTCAGACACCTGCAAGTCACTGCTAAGACAGTGAACCCCCCACACCCGCAAGTCACTGCTAAGACAGTGAACCCCCAATACTCCGGCAAGTCACTGCTAAGACAGTGAACCCCCCACACTCCCGCAAGTCACTAAGACAGTGAACCACCCACACTCCCCCAAGTCACTAATACAGTGAACCACCCACACTCCTGCAAGTCACTGCTAAGACAGGGACCCCGTACACCCGCAAGTAAGTCACTAAGACAGGGACTTCACACCCGCAAGTCACTGGTATAAGACAGGGACTCCCCCACACCCGCAAGTCACTGGGCGTTATATAGGACCCCCATATTCCGGCAAAGTCACTGCTAAGACAGTGAACCCCCACACCCACAAGTCACTGCTAAGACAGGGACTCCCCCACACCTGCAGCCACTGCTAAGACAGGACCCCCCACACCCGCAAGTCACTGCTAAGACAGGACCCCCCCACACCCGCAAGTCAACATAAGACAGTGAACCCCCAACACCCGCAAGTCACTGCTAAGACAGTGACCCCCACACTCGCAAGTCACTGCTAAGACAGTGACCCCCCAACACCTGCAAGTCACCGCTAAGACAGGGACCCCCACACCTGCAAGTCACTGCTAAGACAGGGACCCCCCCACACCTGCAAGTCACTGCTAAGACAGTGAACCCCCCACACCCGCAAGTCACTGCTAAGACAGTGACCCCCCACACCTGCAAGTCACTGCTAAGACAGTGACCCCCCCACACCTGCAAGTCACTGCTAAGACAGTGAACCCCCCACACTCCCGCAAGTCACTAAGACAGTGAACCACCCACACTCCCCCAAGTCACTAAGACAGTGAACC